TGATCTGGCCGCCTTCCCCTTACCTCCCTGAGGTTCCTTTTTAAACCTTGTTTCCCTCACAGGATCGTGGGTGGGTCTAGCTCGGCACAGGTGAGGCTGTGCTTTGAAGTCCCCCGCATATCTTAGCTGTTCTGAGGTCTTGAATTTTACCAGGCCGGACCCACGGCCAGAAGTCAATAGGATCAAACCAGGTAGCGAGAGTTATAAATAGGAGAGTAACCCTGTAAAGTTGCGACTCTGAGAGCAGCGGCCCAGGTGGATGCAGTGCCTGGAGGGAGGCGGGTGGAGAGACAGCAGCTTCGGGGACAGGGGGTTCGATTTTCAAGAATGGCGGTGCTCTCCGAGATTCGGGGCGACTTGGCGCGGACGTGTGTGCCGGCTGGACAGCCATGGTGCGCTTCGTTCCTCTTCCAGGAACCACCTGAAAGATATCCCGGAAGCGATCTCCGAGAGCCAGCACCTGGCCTGTCCCCACTGTGAGTTGGGTGAACTCGGCGTGGGAGGCGCCTGGGGCGACACCAGGAGCCAACACAGCAGACTCTCCACCTGTGGTGACCGCTGGCCTGTCCCAAACCTCCCGTCACCACCCCCCGGGTTATTTCTTCCACTCAAGACAAGTCCGTGCCCTGGCGGGAGTTCCCAGAGAGGCAGACAGAGACGGAGATGGAGACAGAGACAGAGAGACAGAGATGGAGACAGAGATGGAAACAGAGAGACAGAGATGGAGATGGAGAGACAGAGAGACAGAGATGGAGACAGAGATGGAAACAGAGAGACAGAGATGGAGATGGAGAGACAGAGAGACAGAGATGGAGACAGAGATGGAAACAGAGAGACAGAGACGGAGATGGAAACAGAGACAGAGATGGAGATAGAGAGACAGAGAGACAGAGAAAGACAGAGAGAGATAGAGACAGAGACAGAGAGACAGAGATAGAGACAGAGGCAGAGACAGTCATAGATGGAGACAAAGTAGAGACTGTAAGTTTGCTGAATTTGTTTATTAGTTCTAACATCTGTGTGTGTGTGTGTGTGTGTGTGTGTGTGTATGTGTGTGTGTAATCTTTAGGGTTTTCTCCATATAAGATCATGTCATCTGTGAACAGAGATAACTTTATTTCTTCCTTTCCAATTTTGGTGCCTTTTCTTTCTTTTTTTTTTATTTTTTAATTTTGATGTTTTTGTCTAATTGCTCCGGGTGGTACCTCCAGTATCACGGTGAATAGAAGTGGCAAGAATGGGTGTCTGTCTTCTGACCTCAGTGGAAATGCTCTCAGTTTTGGACTGAGCTTGTTGTAAGCTGTGGGCTTGTCAGATGTGGCCTTCATTATGTTGCCCGATTTCCTTTTATTCCTAGTTCGCTGAGTGTTGTTTTTTTAATCATGAAAGCATGCAGATGCATTTTTTGCATCAATTGAGGTGATTATTCACAAACAAATTTCTATGAAATACTCTGCAGCCTCCCACAAGATTCTGCAAGATTCTTGCTGCCCAGGCATGCTAGTGGCTCCCCATCTTTTCGCTTTTTGGATCCTCTTCGTGGGGGTGGGGGGCATAGAGAGGCCTTCACCCCTTCTGTGTAACCACAACAAACAGTCCTAGTGGCTGCAGCTGGCACCTCCTTCTTAGACTGACTTTTGATTTCACTCAGTGAAGTCAGAGCACCTACGCTTTGAGCTTCCATCAGTGTATGCATCCCAATAGTCTTCTATATCGCTATGGTTCCAGTGCCGCAAACCTGGCTAGGACCTGCTGTCCATCTCCAGAGAAGCCGGCGAGCTGTGCCACGCGTGGAAGGGGGCAGGGGTGGTCTCTGTCCCACGGCAGACGTTCAATGTGGTCCACACAGAAGCAGAGCTGTGCACGGTGGCTGGGAACCCGACGGGCGGTGTCAGTGTGTCTTCCTCTCGTCTGTCCTAGTGGGCGGCTGGATCTTCTCCAACCCGGAGGAGTGTGCTCGGCCGGGAACGCCAATTTCCAGTATGCGCCTCCTCTGCCTCTGTCTGCCCCTCACACCCACCACGGCTGTGAGCGCTACGCTGGGCCTCCGCGGGCACCGGCCGGCCCCCTACCCGTCCGCAATACATGCACAGGAACCATTCTTTCTCAAGGTGCGGTGGCTCTGCTCACTGAACCCCAGGCTCCAGGGTGGGGGGGGTGGAGGAGAGAGATGGATAAACCGTAAAAGAAGTGTCTGAAGATGAAAGAACCCCTTTCATGGAACACAGGTAACATCATTGCATGTTGCTATTTTAATGTTTTCTTTTATATACTAATAGTTGGTTTTAGACAGGACGTAGCTAGCGTTTTGTAATTTTCGTAAGACACCGAGTCTCCTGGTTTGTGATGGGTGTGATGGCGCAGGGCATGGTGCCCGGAGCAATTCCAGGCTTCGCCTCAAAAACCAGGTTGGAGGTGCGTCTGAGACAGCTGCTCGTTGCCTTCACGGGGCTTTTCTGCAGTTACATGGCTCAGTCCTGGGAGCTCGGGCCCCGCACGGAGGCGCTGCCCGGAAGGTCTCCGGGGCGGTCACTCTGCACCCAGGCTTGCGTAGGATTAGTTGAAGGCACACAGAGCCAACCTTGATCATTTTTGGTCTGATTATTTTTTACGTTGATGCTGATGTGTGCTTTTACCCTCACTGACTGCTGCCTTGCCTGCGCTGGCCTGTGTCAACCCCTTGCCTGGCTATTTTTATGAAGGAGGGAGCAAGGGAACCAAAGATGGATTTCTCATTCAGTTATTTATGCAAAAAATATTTATCAGGGGCCAATGGAATTCCCGGTTCTGCCCACGAACAAGTCAGACCCTCAAGGAGCTTCCATCCTCCGATGGGGAGACTGACATGAAACAAGACAAACAAGTCAAGTCCGTGGCTGGGAGGTGGAGGAGGTGTTAAGCCTG